GATCCCGCTGTGAGACAGCGCTCCCTGTAATCCAGAGGATTTCCAGGAAAGCCACTTTGGCTGCAGTGGGGATTTGCTCTGCTCTCAGCCCATGCTACCTTTTCTCCTGTTTCCCAGGCTGCCTGCTGTGACTCAGCCCTAATTCCCTCGCCGTGAGGGTGTGCAGAAAGGAGCAGAGTGTGCCGTGGGTGTGTGCWGGGCAGAGCAGGATCACAAGGTGCATTTGGCAAACGAGGCACACATCCCAAAGCCAAATTAATAACAATAATCAGACCGAGGTAGAGGTGATCAATAAAGATAAAATGCACAAAAGCATCACACTGCAGGGCTCTTTTCTGTGAGTTTTGTCATCCTTCCCAGTGCTGCCCCTCTATCCCAGCGATTTTCCCATTTTGCAATGGGATCATACTCTGTGGGCTGCAAGGTCACAGCATTTCCCAGGCAGGCTTTAAAGCTAAAGCTGGTTCAAAGGTTTGCATTTTTTGTGGGGGGGGAAAACACCACAAGTTGACATTCCTGTGATTTCTTTTCTTTGAAGCAGCTACTGAATCACATCTTGCTGTCCTTGCAGCCAGTTCAGGCTCCATTCAACGATAAGSTCTGAGAAACCAGACCAGGAGAGACAATTTGTACACTTTGTCTATTTAAGGAAGGAAAATGAACTCATTTGAAGGGTCACAGCTTCGTGCCTGTGAAACGAGCTCTTTAGAAGAGTCTGGAATGGGCAAGTCAAGACTAAACTGGGCACAGGTCAATTTTTCCATGTTCTTCACAGCTATGGGGAGGAAACCACYCTGTTAATATGAAATCTTCTCCCTCTGAAGAGCAGTTTTTCAAATTACAGAATGGAAAAGATCGCATTTAACTCCTGTGGCCGTGATGTAAGTCCCTGGCAGGGAAGTTGGCAGAGCTGATGATTGCCTCAGTTCCTGCTCAAGTGTGAGTCCAGGGCATTTGCAGCCTTCCCTTCTTTTTAAGAGATCTCAAACCCAACCCTTTAATTTTCATTTGTGACCTTTAGGACGTGTTGAGGGTTATCTCTAGAGAAAAGCAGGACTGGTTCTGTGTTCTTAAAGTGAATTTTGGGTGTATCCCCCTGCTGAGGCACCTGGAGCAGTGAAAATGTCACCATTGTCCTATAGATGTCCATCCACAAGGCTTCCCAACATTTTCCAATAAACAGCAAATGGCAACTGTGAGTGAAAAATGAAAAAAAAAGAACCTTTTTACTTCTCCACTATGGTGAGGAGGATTTTTAGGTCAAAGAAGAGGAAACAGCTGGAGATCAAAACCAAAGAGCTGATTTTTGTTTGCTTCTCTTTTGCTTTTGGTTTGATTTCTGCTCCCTCAGGGGAGAATATTCCTTGGAAAATCAATGGGATGCTCCTGGGGAAGGTGTGTCGTGCAGGCACACAGGGCTGGCTCACACATTTTTCACMTCTAAATATTCAATCAGTACCTGAACTCCAGGTGTCTGAGCTGTTTTCTGAGCTGAATTCATTGCTATTTCCACCTTTTGGGAAGCGACAGTGACATATTGTTTGAGTAAAGCTGGGAAATCCCATCAAACTCAGAGCCCTTCCCCTGGATTTGAGGGACTGAGGGGTGCTTGGGCAGCTCATTRAAACACAAAAACTCAACTTCCACAGAGCAAATCAAGAGCTCAGAGCTCATGCCAAGTGATTTTCATGTAGTTTGCTTCACATTCCCCAAAYATCACCAAAATAACTCCTCAAGGGGAGGGTCTTTAAGTTGGTAATGGATTTTTATTCTTAATGCTTGTACCTCCAGGGGTTTTGCTTTGTGCCATATTACACAATTCCCATCTCCTGAACTCCACTCTTTCTCCTTCTGCCAATTTGGCCTGAAAATTCTTGTGAATCTCTGAGTTTTCTGAATTAATCCCAAATATTGAAGTGCTAGAGGAGAATGAGAAGATGGCATGGGGAGAGTGTCTGTCACAGGAAGGTATTTCACAATCTGGGGAAGGCAAACTGATTGTGAACTCTGGTTGTTCCTGGAGGGTTTAATCCTGTTTGTTTGTACACTTGGAATTCTGCTTCTCTTTCCAGCTGAGGATTTCAGAGTTTTACAAACATTTGTAATTTGAATTGAGCCTCAGCTTGGGAAATGGGAAAGTCCAGTAACTCCCATT